GTATGGAACATTATTTAAGCTTATTTGCAATGAATTTAATAATACTTTTACTTCTAAAACATTCTCCTTGAACAGTCGGAAGTCATTCAATGAATGGGCGACAGTAGGAGTCCATAAGAGCAGGCATAGGTTATATGATCTTTACCATGAAAGGTCATATAATCATAGCGTCGAATTTAGGGAATATGTAAAAAAATATTCAAAAATATTTAAAAGAGTGTGCTTCCTTAGCCAAGTCTTTGCATTTGAGCAACAAAATTAAGACGGCTTCCAATAAAATTAAAATGACATGGAGTATAATTAATAGCGAAACTGGTAAGATCAACTCTCGCAATTCAAATTACCAGTTAAGTGTTAACAACAAATTAACTGTATCAGATCAGGACGTAGCAATGGTTTTTGAGAAATATTTTACTGATATTCCGATCTTGACCACTAAGTCACTGAATTCTTCTCCTGCCGTCGCCGAATCATTACTTAAACAAAATGTAAATGTGTGTACAAAGAATTTTACATTTCATAAAGTGTCATCAAAAGATATTGTAAAATATTTTAAAACTATTGATGTTAAGAAAACTGCGGATCTGTGGGGGATTTCCGTTAAAGTTATTTCGTCTATAATAGATACAATCGCGCCTCATTTAGCTATTATTTTTAATACTAGTATCGAATCTGGTGTGTTTCCTGATTTAATGAAGCATAGTAAAGTAATACCTTTATTTAAATCTGGTAGTACATTAGACCCCGCCAATTTTAGACCTATTTCTGTACTACCAACACTTAGTAAGATTTTTGAAAAAATTGTTCTTGTTCAAATGTTAAATTTTTTTAATATAAATAATTTACTTCATAAAAATCAATTTGGTTTCACAAGGGGTCGCTCGACAACTGATGCCGGTGTTGAGCTGATTAAATATATCTTTAATGCATGGGAGAATTCACAGGATGCTTTGGGTATATTTTGTGACCTATCCAAGGCCTTCGATTGTGTTCACCATGAAACATTAATCAGGAAACTTCAACACTACGGTGTAAGAAGTGATGCCCTTAAATTAATTATTTCATATTTAAGTAAGAGAACGCAAAAAGTTGTCATTAACAATATGAGCTCTTCCGGATCGATGGTACAAATGGGCGTGCCTCAAGGCTCAATTCTCGGCCCCTTTCTGTTTCTTGTATACATTAATGACTTACCTTACATAGTAGGGGATAACCATGATATAGTATTATTTGCAGATGACACTTCTTTAATTTTCAAATTAAGTCGACAGTTACTAAAATATGACGAAGTAAATAATGCTATCTCTAAATTAGTAAATTGGTTCGATGTTAATAATTTGCATTTAAATGGCACTAAAACAAAATGTATGAAATTCGTGACTCCAAATGTCAAACAATTAAATACTAATGTAATTTTAAATGGGGAGAAACTGAGTCTTGTAGATACCACCATTTTTCTTGGAATCACACTAGACGCGAAGCTTCAATGGAGCCCCCATATATCAAAACTAGCAAGCAGACTTAGTTCTGCAGCATATGCTGTAAAAAAGATTAGAAGTCTAACCAGTGTTGAAACAGCTAGACTAGTTTACTTTAGCTATTTCCATAGCATAATGTCGTATGGTATTTTGCTATGGGGACACGCAGCTGACACTGAAATTATATTTGTTTTACAGAAGAGGGCCATAAGAGCAATTTATGATTTAAAGCCTAAAGAGTCGCTGCGACAAAAATTTAAGGAAATTAATATATTAACTTTGGCCTCTCAATACATTTATGAAAATGTAATGTACGTACACAAAAATAAAAGTAGTTTTACAAAAATAAGTGATATTTATTCTGTAAATACTAGGAACAGACACAAGCTAGTAGTACCAGTTACTCGACTCCATCGAGTCAGTAATTCATTCTTGGGGCGATGTATACGCTTTTACAACAAAATTCCAGAAAATATACAATGTTTGACCTGTTCAAAGTTCAAAAACTTTATTAAACTAAGTTTGTATAAAAAGGGTTATTTATTAAGGAATTTATGGATGATAATAACCCCTGGAAATGAGGTGATCGCTACCAAGCTATTTCTAATTTGTTGTGTTGTTAATTTGTATAACATCATGATTGTAAGCTGTTATTTAAAAAAAAAGTCCCGCTGGGTTTCTTGCTAGTTATTCCCAGGACAGAGGTTTTTTCCGAACCAGTGGTAATCAAACAAAAGAGTGACTTTCAATAAGTATTATTTAATCTATATTGAATAAAAAAGTTTCTGTTTCTGTTTCTATATTTATTAATTATTAAGCATTATAGCGTATATAAATGTCCAACTTTTTTTTCATTCACGACATCTAGTGTTCAATTTTCGGAAATGTAGGGACTAAGAATTCACCTAGGTCTGTGTGTGTAAACGACACTATATTCAATAACAGATGTTATTTTCGGACTTTGTGTTGAATTGTGTGGATTTTGAGGCAATGATATGACCTAGTAAAATAAATTATAATGTCTGAGTACCGCGATTGCTACTTCTACGACTTAATAATATTCCAATTACATAAAAACCCAAATAAACTAAAAAATGATGACTTCAGCGCATTCTCGCGGGAATATGGCCGGAAACAGACCATATGTTTCACCTTAAGTGATATCATTAAAAAGAACAGTGAAGTGAGGTACTGGTGTATTCCTTCATCAAGCTCAACTTGCATAGTTAGCAGCAAAGAAAAATGCATAGCAGCGCAGAGGTATCACAGGCTAACCCGGAAGCTACCGCTCAGCTAGTCGTCGAGTATCAAGTAAGATCTTTTCATTTTATTTACATTCTACTTTGCTGCATCAACTCCTCTTCACATATCATGGATAAGTTATTGGTACGGCAGAGTAAACTTATCGCCGAGATAGAGTGCATCGGCGTAAACTTTAGCAAAGACAGCTCCAGTCGCAAGACTAGGGACTACATAGAGAAGAGGGTCCGCGCGTTAGGTGACTTGTGGAGTGAGTTTGAAGCCAATGACAGAACTCTCGCAAGTTACGAGGATAAACAGCATGAATACTTTGCCAAAACATATTTGCTCATATCAAGGAGTACTATAAGACTACGAAGCCTTTAATATCCACATATCCCCCTGTAACACCTACCCCTAAGCCCAGCAACCCTCCGGTAACGAGCGGACAACCAACAATATCATTTGCAGTGCCGAAGGTATCAATGATCGATAAAGCTACCGAAACCTGCGGAGAAGTAGAAGAATTACTGTCTCAACAAAGAACAAATATTCGAGCATTTTACAGACCTTCGGAGCGCATAGATGAACTAGACTTATCAGAAAAATGGGAAATCGAAGACGACCTGAAGAACTTGGACCGACGCTGGCTACTTATAGATGAATTACATCTACGCATAGACAATATCCTCCTGGGCCAGGACGAACTGTACAATAACGAATACAGCAAAGTTGAAAAAATCTAACTCTGTATCAAACGGCAATTAAATAAGAAGCTGACCTCATCTCTTCATTTAAAGCATTCAACCCCCACAATAGAAATACCAACTTTCATAGGAAAATATACCCGGTGGCCCACTTTTTTCGATTTGCACACAGAAACAATTCATAACAACGGATTTATTAGCAAGGCTCAAAAAATGCAACACTTAAAGGCTAAGCTTAAATGTTAAGTAGAGCGTCTCATTAAGCACCTTCATATCTCAGCGGATAATTATGATACGGCTTGGACAATATTGACATATCGCTACAACAACCCTCAAATACTCTTTACAAAGCAAATCGAAGTATTTTTGAATCAGCCGTCTATACACAAGCAGTCATCGTACGAGTTAAGACGCACGCCATTCGCAGTAACAGATAGTATTTAAATAGTTTTAAACTTCATTTAAGCAATTAAAAATAGAAGGTGCATACAAGCAAAAGAATACTATTGAGAGAGCAATTTGGGCTTGTAACAAGATTATCAAATATAGTGATGATACAATCAATATTTTGAAAGATAGCACACTATCCAATGTAAGAGCAATTGAGAGAAATTCGAGATCAGTGAAGGACCCCAAACCATTTAATGAGTACAATGACTAATATTTACTTGAAGTATCTTATCACGTTTATGGTTGACTTAATAAAGTTGGATCTTGTTCCCAAAGAATTATATGCAGGAACCGACAATAGAAGATACAAGAGACTTATGTGTAAAACATAGGGATGCCCGATCTGGATCGATTTTTTAAAAGATTGATGATGATTCAAGGGAATACGATCTTCACCCAGATCGAATCGTATGCCTATAAGATCGTAAGAAAAAATCGTATTAACTAAAACCTAAACATCAACCGAACCGTAACGTACTAACGTACGTACGAACTGATCTTTGCATACCTATCCTATTGCCGAGGAGGCGATAGAATAACCAAAACAAAGTAAGATTACCTACCTACACATTTAGGGTGGATTCGACCAAATGCCGTGTTACTCCAGAGTAACTAACCCTCGAATAATTTTACTCTTTGCTCTTACTCTCCGATAACTTCGTTTGCGTTTTTCCAACACAAACGTAGAGTAGCTAATACTGGGTATTGTTACTCTAGAGTTGGTGAATGAAAAATGAATGAACATGTAAGCCAACTAAAATCGAAATACAATGGTTTATATAGCGCAATGCAAGATGTTCTGTCCACTTAGTTTTGCCGGATTATAATAGTGTCAACTGTCACTGGACACTAGAATATTAACACGAGTCGAGTTGTCAGTTGATTTCTTAATTTCTTATTCTTACCTTTTGAAACAAAATGTCTGCAGAAAAAAGAAAACGTAGCCCAAATTGGTTATCTTCAGAAAAACATTTATTGTTAGAATTAGTAGAAAAACATTTTCGTGTCATTGAAAACAAGAAAACAGACGGGGTTACGATGAAACAAAAATTGTCCGAATGGCAAATTATATCCCACGAATATAATAGTCAAACGACACACAATTTTAAAAAATGAGTGGGAATATATGAAAAAAAAGGCCAAAAAGGAAGAGTCATACAAGAGGATGAGTAGAATCCAAACAGGTTAGTTTTTATCATATCTTACGTTATCATTATTCGTGTTGATCCAGTTATTTATATAACTAGGCAAAAACCTATAATATCAAAAGAAATTCGGTATACATTAGAAAGATGATCTTGTAACTGGGAGAGCAACAGACTGAGCCATGCCTACATACATTTATATATTGTTAGTCACTACTGGAAACATGCTTATCCCAAAGATCTTTAGGTCATGTACCATTATTAAATACTTGGGAGTAAAATGATGTGTCCTGATCAAGTGATTTATTTTCTTGGTCTCCTCTATTTTGGGATTATTTTAGTTGAAATATTTTTAGAACCAACACTACTGAGATGACATACTTTAAATACTTTTACTTTAATCATTTTGTACTATTTTTAGGTGGAGGACCAGCAAATCCCAAAAAAGAAGATCCTCTTGATTCAAAAATAATATCTTTGATAAAAACAAGTGCTGTTGGTCTTTTTAACCGTTTTGACAGTGATAGCGTTGCCCCAGAAAGCTTAGATAACCATAATTTTTATGAGGTTCAAGTTATTTTATCTGAGGAGCCAGAATTATGTAGTAAAGGTTAGTATCTTGCAGTTTAGTTAAGCATCCTAGAGAAACCAAACAAAATTGTTGTGACTTTAATATTTGGTTACAGATCATGACACTGACATTGATGAGATTCAAAAGACTGGGATTGACTTGAATGAAGTAGAAATGCAGGTAAAATCATAACACATTAATAATATCTGTAGCCCTATACATTTACCTAAAGCAAATTATAGTATATAGTAAATATAAACATGTTTCATAACTCTACTACTATGTGTATGTAGTAGTCATGCTGCAGCTATATTAAGTATAGTTTCTAGCACGAATGGGTCGGCTCGACCGGGGAAGGACTACGCTCTCACAGAATACCAGCGTAAAATAGCAGCTTAATGCTGCTGTGTTTCGTATGGTGAGTGTAGAGAATCGCAGACCTTTTTTACTGGAAAAGAGGCATTCTATTGTACATTTTAATTTGCAAACGAAGATAGATGTAGAATTTTTTTTATTTAATAGGGGGCATACAAGCATGTAACTCACCTGATGGTAAGCGTTGCCCATGAACAACTGCAATACCAGGGGAATTGCAGGTGCATTGTGGGCCTTTTAGAAGGGATTGGGCCTCAGGCCACCTGCACTAACCAAACCCTTCGCAGAAGCAAAGCTTCTACTTCGAGCTGGTATTCTGTAAAGTCATGGTAGTTATATGTTTCGAGCCGGCCCATCCATGCAACAGCAGAAGCTGCAGTTTGGCTCTACTGCTGTGTGATAAAATATAATATTGGCATTATATTTTTTACATTTTTATTCTTTGTTTTAGGATTGGAGTGATTATACTCCTAAAATGTTAAGAACTCCTGTTGCTACACCACTTCAATACGATACTAATGAGCAAGAAGGAAAATTTAAAAATCTTGGTCTTCAAGAAGGCGACCGACATATGTAGCTTCAACATCATCACTGCAAAAGTTGCATGAGAAGAAAATTGAAGCAATTGATCTCCAGAATAGTGTTGCTGAGAAGGAATCACTACATTTAAACGCGGTTAACGATCTGGACTTACAAATAAAAAGGGAGCAATTGAAACAAGAAAAATTAAAGACCCGTATTTTATTATTAGATTTAAGATTAAAAAAAAGCAATTGCGAAAAGACCAATAAAATATTAAACTTATTTATTTCAACTTTTATTTTATACTATTTTTCTTTTTTTATAATTTGTATAATATAAAATTAGATTTGGAATCACAGCGATCAACTGGCTAGATTCCATAGCTACAATAAACTATAAAAATAATTACTTATTAACGAATTGCGTGCTAACTGGCCAGTAGAATGCTGTGCTGATTCCAAGCTCTGCATTTGGCCAAGTTGTAACAGTTCATCCCATGGAGCTGGCAATAGCACTTCTGGGTCATCAGGTGGAAGTTGTTCCCCTTGCCTGCGCAACATATTGTGGAGGACAGCTGTGGCTATGATAATAGTTAGTGCTTTTTCTAATTTTACTCGCATGCCAAGTGCCAATACTGGGAATCGTCTTTTCCGTACACCGTAGGTTCTTTCTATAGCATTCCTGGTACGAATTTGTGATTCATTGTACAGTTGCTCAGCTGGTGTCCTTGGATTTTCTAACGGAGTCATGGTATAATTCTTTGCAGCATATCCTCTGTCTACCAATAATAACGCATTGCCATAGCGACCAGTCTCAAAATGTGCTTTCCGCACGCTATTATTAAATATAGTGCTGTCATGAGTTGAACCTGGCCATCTTGCGACTATGTCGGTTATTTCTAAATTGGCATTGCATATAGTTTGCACATTAATAGAGTAGTATCCTTTTCGGTTTCTAAATGTCTCTGCTTGTTCTCCACCTACTTCGAGTCTTAAGGGTACGAATGTGAGGCGAATGTGTGTACAGTCCATTGCTCCAACTACTCTTGGAAAACGAGCAATTTGGTAAAATTTATCTTGCTCATGTCTTATTTCTTGAGTTGATTCAGGGAAATTTTATGTACTCTGTATGCAATGCAGCTATTGCAGCACTAACTCTGTGTACAATTTTGTTTGCTGTCGGCGTACTTAGACCACAGTAATCTCCAATGCTTGTTTGTGTCCAGTTTGTTGCATAATATCTCAGAGTGGCCAACAACTGATTTACTGGAGATATTGAGAAATTTCTGAAAGAAAAAGGAACTTTATGTAACATAGGTACAACTACTACTATAGAATATATTTTAGTTTTAAATCTTTGAGCATAATTTCTCGAAAAAATATATCTAGGTATAGGTGGGTACATACCGGTTTGATGAATATTCCAGGTGATGCTCAATTTTGGATAAAAGACACAAAGTAGCTTCTTTGGACAATCGAAACCTTATTGCAAAGTCACGGTCATCATAGTTATCGAAATAATTGTTCCTTTGTCTAATCCATCGTGGACGCCTTGGAATGTATTCTTCATCACTGTCTGAATCTTCGATCATATTTCGTAAACGTTGCATTATTCAAAAAAATATCCCTACAATTATCACAAAAATACAAGAAATAGTAAATACACAACGATAAAATATCCTACTTTTTACTAAATTATATAAATGCACAACGATAAAATATCCTACTTTTTCAACAGAGCACACAAAAACAGCTGTTAAAATGTAGCGGCCGCCATTAAAATACTCTGGGATAACGTGTTTACTCCATGAATTTTGGCGGTATAACAATTTACTCTCGGATAGACAGTTATACCTGGGTTAAGATTTGGTAAAACGAAAGTTCTCTAACTCGAGAGTAATTAGCGATTTTATTCTCAGGATAAGACTTATACTAAGTTTGGTCGAATCCGCCCTTAATGATAGTAGCTTCGAGTTACATCAAAAGCAGTAATGTATAAAATATGAAGGAAGGTATGATAATATTTTGTTTATTTTATTATCGGGTATCTATGTTAGTGTTCTATGATCTTTCATTCTTTGTATTATTACGATACGAAAGGTAAAGCTGTTCTGTGAGCGTAAACTATTATTTTAAAATATTATTAAATATGGCCCCGCCAACCAAATAAAACCTTTGGGCTTTTTTTATTAAATGTGACATGGGTAGACAATGTAAAGTTTGTAAACAGATGGTTAAAACTAATGGAAATACTACCAATTTAAAAAATCATCTCAGATTTCATCACATACAGTTATCCTTAACTGAGCAAAAGTGAAAAAAGTTTCATTAAATTACAGCAATTGTCGAAATCGTATGTATCTCTATACAAATAAATAAAATAGAAGTGTCTGTTTGTAATGTCAAAATTAACAGCTTTTTCATCATCATCATCATTATCATTACAGCCCTTCACAAGTCCACTGCTGAACATAGGCCTCCCCCAAAGAATGCCACAAAGCACGGTCCTGAGCCACCTGCATCCATCGACTTCCTGCATGTCTTACCAGGTCGTCACTCCATCTCGTGGGGGGACGCCCTACACTTCGCCTACCGGTACGAGGTTGCCACTCGAGAACCTTTCTTCCCCATCGGTTGTCGGTTCTTCGAGCTATATGGCCGGCCCACTGCCACTTCAGCTTACTAATCCGTTGGGCTATGTCGGTTACTCTAGTTCTACTGCGGATATCCTCATTCCTAAGTTTATCACGCAGAGAAACTCCGAGCATAGCCCTCTCCATAGCTCGCTGAGCGACCTTGAGCTTCCTCATACGGCCAGCAGTGAAGGACCACGTCTCAGTTCCATAAGTCATCACTGGCAACACGCACTGGTTGTACAATTTCGTTTTCAGGTTTTGAGGTATGTCTGACGAGAAGATGTGTCGTAGCTTCCCGAACGCTGCCCAGCCGAGTTGAATCCGTCGATTGACCTCTCGGTCGAAGTTGGACTTACCTAGTCGGACTATTTGTCCCAGGTAAACATACTCGTCAACAACTTTTACTTTTATTTTAGAAAAAATTAGCCGCAACAGGCTAGAACCAGTGCGGCTGCCAAAATTATTATTTTTAAAGAGCTTAAATCTAGATAGCTGAAATTTATAATGTAAACTTGTTTTATACTTTTCATAAATAATAATTTGGAAAAACTCATTGGATACGGTAATAGGCATTGTTAAAATAATTAAATTTGCATGCATACTGTGCTTTCCTTTATTTTTATAAAATCACGATACGATTTTCCAAGATCGAATAAGATCGATTCAATGCAATGTGATTAAATCGTGAATCGATTCACGAGGTTACGATCCATTACGATCCAGTAGATCGATTCAAAACAAAAAAGCGGGCATCCCTAGTAAAACAGACATGGTTCAGTGGTATATTCATGATTATGAGAAGAAAATAGATGAGAAGACATCTAAAGCAATTGTTACTTTGTTTGACAATAACAAAAACAGATTGAGGAAAGTATTTCAATATAATTGGAAGGATGTAAAGTTTAAAATAGGTAATGTAAATTTAAGTAAATCTTTGGTCCCTCTAACTAATATAATTTAATACAATTTATACAATTACATAATAAAAGAAATTTGAAACATACAATATTACATGCCTTGGGACTAAGCAATATGATTGAGTATGAAAATATACCTATATATTATCTTAATCAGAGTAAACTTCTAGTAGCAGAAAGCAATTTAGATGCGAGGAAAATACCAAGTTAATTGAATTACATACAATCACAAGATGATAAGAGATTCAGGTATTTGCCTGTTTTACCTGGGTTAGATCCTGAATTTGTGTATATAGCCCATGCTTTAGTTCAGCCACAATATAGAGTAAGTAATTTGATGGAAGAAAGTTCCCGTTTGAGGGGTCAAAATGTGAAAATTACTGTGCTATGTATAATTAAATTAAACACGGTAGAAGAGAAATGGTACGGACTATTAAGATAAATGACTACCCTTCCAAATAGACTATGAAACAACACATGTTAATGTTGATGGTACTCAATTCAAACGTTTAAATAGAGAAGAGATGGTATATTTTGAAACTGAAATATCAAAAGGATTTTTCTTCCACAACGCACATGCTCTTTTAACCATAAGCATAAATCGAACTTCTATGAAAGAATTAGCATTTATTCTTGCAGAAATAGCAGTGTTTCTCACGAAGAGATTTGAACAAATTCATTTTCAGCATTCAGTGAAACAAATAAGATACAATTGCAAAAGATATTTGCAAAAACGATTTTATGAAGTTGTGGGGCTTAGAGAAGATCGTGTTAAAGCAATCAAAAATGAAATGGAGTCAAACACAAATGAAGAAGGTTTTGGAATGTATATCTGATAAAAATATCACCATTCATGCATGGACAGATTCAATGGTGGTTTTTGGTTGGATTCATGGTGATCCTTCCACATGGAAGCAGTTCGTTTCTAATAGAATCCGAGACATCAAGGAAATTATTCCAGCAGCCCAGTGGAATCACGCACTGTTTAATAGAATTTCCTGTAATTTAATGTTTTTCTTTTTTATTTGTATAATAAGCCTTCACATAAATTTATTTCAAGAAAATTGTGTACTTTTTAAATATATTTACAACTTTTTGTTTTGCATTTAGCTGCATGTACCTGGCTTGATATTTATCTCTTTTTAAATTTGAATTTACTTCATAATCTATCACAAAACGATATCTAGGTGGTTCTTGGGGACGAATTGGAAAGTGAACCAGATGAAATTATTTCCGACTTTCGCGTTGAACAGAATACTGTCAAAGGGGATAGCTCTGATCATGAAGCCGATCTACAAAGGTCGGAAAACGAACTTGAAGAGGATAATATCCAGGTTAGAATTACAAATTCACCAGTAACAGTGCTAGAAGTACATGAATTTTTGCGAGGTAAAGGAAGAAAAAAGCCAAGAAGTAGCAAAAAATTTGTATGGTATAGGTCTCTTCCTCGATCATTACGAACTCCACAAAGAAATATAATATTTCATGCACTAGGAAACAAAGGTCCTGCTAAATTCATTTCAAACGCTTAAGATAGTTGGAAATGCAACATAAAGTGGTTTTTACTGATGAAATTCTGCAAAATACCAGATTTTAAATAACAAATAGGTACAGCAAAGATTTTAAAAATATCAAAGAAATTGCAATAACTTTCTTCTACATTGGATGAAAGTCCATTTTCTAGTGTTATGCCGCAAATAGTAGGATATACATATATCGGGATTTTTTGTCAGTCATCATCATCATCATCATTACAGCCCTTCACAAGTCCACTGCTGAACATAGGCCTCCCCCAAAGAATGCCACAAAGCACGGTCCTGAGCCACCTGCATCCATCGACTTCCTGCATGTCTTACCAGGTCGTCACTCCATCTCGTGGGGGGACGCCCTACACTTCGCCTACCGGTACGAGGTTGCCACTCGAGAACCTTTCTTCCCCATCGGTTGTCGGTTCTTCGAGCTATATGGCCGGCCCACTGCCACTTCAGCTTACTAATCCGTTGGGCTATGTCGGTTACTCTAGTTCTACTGCGGATATCCTCATTCCTAAGTTTATCACGCAGAGAAACTCCGAGCATAGCCCTCTCCATAGCTCGCTGAGCGACCTTGAGCTTCCTCATACGGCCAGCAGTGAAGGACCACGTCTCAGTTCCATAAGTCATCACTGGCAACACGCACTGGTTGTACAATTTCGTTTTCAGGTTTTGAGGTATGTCTGACGAGAAGATGTGTCGTAGCTTCCCGAACGCTGCCCAGCCGAGTTGAATCCGTCGATTGACCTCTCGGTCGAAGTTGGACTTACCTAGTCGGACTATTTGTCCCAGGTAAACATACTCGTCAACAACTTCGGGCCCAGTGCTCCCAACAACTACCGGCATAGGTGTGACATGGACATTGAACATGATCTTTGTTTTGTCCATGTTCATCTTAAGACCTATCCGTTGGGAAACACTATCGAGGTCATTGAGCATAGTGCTTAGGTCCTCCAGCGATTCTGCCATAAGGACTATATCGTCGGCAAATCGAAGGTGAGTGATGTACTCGCCATTGATGTTGATACCGTATCCTTTCCAGTCCAGAAGCTTGAAAACGTCTTCCAATGCAGCGGTGAAGAGTTTCGGGGATATGACGCCCTGTCTTACACCTCTCTGCAATTGGATAGGTTTCGTACTCTGGTTCTGTACTCGGATAGCCATCGTAGCCCTACTGTACAAGCACTTCAACACTTCGATATACCGACAGTTTAACTTGGCACCGCAGAAGGGACTGCAGCACCGCCCAAATTTCGACGGAATCAAAGGCTTTCTCATAGTCCACATACGCCAGACATATTGGCAAATTGTACTCTTCGGACTTCTGTCTCTCTTCTCTTCAATTTGCCGAAGGGTATGTATGTGATCTATGGTGCTAAAGCCCTTTCGGAAACCGGCTTGTTCGGGAGGCTGGAAGTCGTCAAGCCTGCGCGCGAGACGATTCGTAATAACTCTCGAAAACAGCACGTAGACGCGGCTCAGAAGGGAAATCGGTCTGTAGTTCTTCAAGAGAGCGTTGTCACCTTTCTTGAAGAACAAGACCACCGCACTTCGAGGACGGAATTAAAGAGCTTCTGAAGGACTTCAAGTACCGGTTTTCCACCCGCTTTCAGAAGCTCCGCTGTAATTCCATCCTCGCCTGGGGCCTTACCGTTTTTAAGGTGCTGGAGAGCCATTCTAATCTCGCTCAGACTGACGTCCGGGATATCTTCGGAATAGTGTCGGATGAGACTCGCTCTTGGATCGTTACTCACACTTGCGTGTGGCTCCAACGACGCCGTGTACAGCTGCCCATAGAACCTCTCAATCTCACTCAAAATCTCAGGTGTCCCGGAAACGATGCTGCCACATTCTGTCTTCAGCTTTGACAGGTGGCTCTTTCTGGCAGACAGATCTCTGGCAAAGACTTTGGAGCCTTGGTTCCGCTCGATCGCTTCTTCAATACGAGCTGTATTGAAGTTGCGCAAGTCCCGCTGCATGCATTTAGAGATCTGTCTATTCAGATGCCTGTATGCTGTCAAGTCTGTTGAAGAATGTAGCTTCATCTCCCGTCTAACAGCCATGAGATTAAGAGTGTGATCGGAGAGTTTTTGTGTTCTTCTGCGGCGGGTCTTGCAGAACTTAGCTCCGACCGCATGGACAGTTTCCACGAGCTTGTCATTCATATCGTCCACTTCATTGCAGTCTTCTAGGCACTGAAAACGGTTTTGTAACTCGAGCTGAAAGGTTTCGGTACTTTGGAACAGAGCACGAGGGGGACGGAGCGTTGACTTCATTAGACGAGACCTCTCCAACTTAACGTTTAGGTTCAGTGTGCCTCTAACCATTCGGTGATCGCTACCAGTTTTCACCCTCGCGATCACGGAGACATCACTGAACAGTTGTCGTCCGGTCGTCATAATGAAGTCAATCTCATTTTTTGTCGAACCGTCGGGGCTCGACCAGGTCCACTTCCTGTGGGGCCGCTTCTGGAAGAAAGAGTTCATCATAAAGAGTCCCTCTTTCTCCATGAAGTCGGCCAGCTGCTGGCCCCTTGGGTTCCGTTGCCCTATTTCAAATTTCCCTACTTTCAGCTCGCCGTTCTCTCTTGTGCCTAGTTTTGCATTGAAGTCTCCCATTAACACCGTATATTGGGGTTTGGTGGAATGCATGGCTCTAGAGATATCCTCATACATTTCCTCCACCTCCTCATCGGGGTGTGCCGAGGTTGGTGCGTAAACCTGTATGACCTTCAGCGAATACCGTTTGGTGATTCTGAGTATAAGGTACGCAACCCTCGTCGACACACTCCCGATCTTTACAACGTTGTTAACGAGAGACTTGTGGACGATAAATCCGACACCTCCTTGGGACAGATGGTCGCCCTCCCGGTGATAGAGCAAGTTGCCGGATTCGAGGATTACCGTATCCTCCCCCTCTCTTCGGACTTCGGATAATCCTATAATATGCCAGCGCAACTTGTCTATTTCTTCCAGCTCCACGATCTTCTCGTCAGTCCGCAGGGTGCGTGCGTTGTACGTTGCCAGGTCGAGTCGTCTAAGGTGGCAACCGAACCTCCACCGGAGATTCTTAGCACCCCCTGCCCCGCCGTTACCATGGTCGCCACCGTAGCAAGGAATAGCGGGGCCGCCGGGGACTAGGGGCCGTCTCTTTGTTACATTCATAGGGGGGTATTTGCCATAGTTGCCACGCTTGGCGAGCGGGTTGGCAACCGCAGTTTTTTTATTGTAATTTTTAATTTTAACAGCTTTTTACTAAATACATATCAAAATATATACGATACTAACAACCAACAGTAATTTTTTTTCTTTTCCGTCTCTGTCGGTCTGTCCCGACTAATCTCAAAAACAGCTGAGCTGATTTTGAAGGGACTTTCACTGACAGACAGACGATGTTACAGAGAGTAACTTACGCTACTTTTATTTTAGAAAAAATTAGCCGCAACAGGCTAGAACCAGTGCGGCTGCCAAAATTATTATTTTTAAAGAGCTTAAATCTAGATAGCTGAAATTTATAATGTAAACTTGTTTTATACTTTTCATAAATAATAATTTGGAAAAACTCATTGGATACGGTAATAGGCATTGTTAAAATAATTAAATTTGCATGCATACTGTGCTTTCCTTTATTTTTATAAAATCACGATACGATTTTCCAAGATCGAATAAGATCGATTCAATGCAATGTGATTAAATCGTGAATCGATTCACGAGGTTACGATCCATTACGATCCAGTAGATCGATTCAAAACAAAAAAGCGGGCATCCCTAGTAAAACAGACATGGTTCAGTGGTATATTCATGATTATGAGAAGAAAATAGATGAGAAGACATCTAAAGCAATTGTTACTTTGTTTGACAATAACAAAAACAGATTGAGGAAAGTATTTCAATATAATTGGAAGGATGTAAAGTTTAAAATAGGTAATGTAAATTTAAGTAAATCTTTGGTCCCTCTAACTAATATAATTTAATACAATTTATACAATTACATAATAAAAGAAATTTGAAACATACAATATTACATGCCTTGGGACTAAGCAATATGATTGAGTATGAAAATATACCTATATATTATCTTAATCAGAGTAAACTTCTAGTAGCAGAAAGCAATTTAGATGCGAGGAAAATACCAAGTTAATTGAATTACATACAATCACAAGATGATAAGAGATTCAGGTATTTGCCTGTTTTACCTGGGTTAGATCCTGAATTTGTGTATATAGCCCATGCTTTAGTTCAGCCACAATATAGAGTAAGTAATTTGATGGAAGAAAGTTCCCGTTTGAGGGGTCAAAATGTGAAAATTACTGTGCTATGTATAATTAAATTAAACACGGTAGAAGAGAAATGGTACGGACTATTAAGATAAATGACTACCCTTCCAAATAGACTATGAAACAACACATGTTAATGTTGATGGTACTCAATTCAAACGTTTAAATAGAGAAGAGATGGTATATTTTGAAACTGAAATATCAAAAGGATTTTTCTTCCACAACGCACATGCTCTTTTAACCATAAGCATAAATCGAACTTCTATGAAAGAATTAGCATTTATTCTTGCAGAAATAGCAGTGTTTCTCACGAAGAGATTTGAACAAATTCATTTTCAGCATTCAGTGAAACAAATAAGATACAATTGCAAAAGATATTTGCAAAAACGATTTTATGAAGTTGTGGGGCTTAGAGAAGATCGTGTTAAAGCAATCAAAAATGAAATGGAGTCAAACACAAATGAAGAAGGTTTTGGAATGTATATCTGATAAAAATATCACCATTCATGCATGGACAGATTCAATGGTGGTTTTTGGTTGGATTCATGGTGATCCTTCCACATGGAAGCAGTTCGTTTCTAATAGAATCCGAGACATCAAGGAAATTATTCCAGCAGCCCAGTGGAATCACGCACTGTTTAATAGAATTTCCTGTAATTTAATGTTTTTCTTTTTTATTTGTATAATAAGCCTTCACATAAATTTATTTCAAGAAAATTGTGTACTTTTTAAATATATTTACAACTTTTTGTTTTGCATTTAGCTGCATGTACCTGGCTTGATATTTATCTCTT